GAACAACTGATATTTGGAGGTCATTTATATCTCAGAAAATTCTTCATTTATCTGGATTAACTGTTTCATTTGTGCCTACTAATGCAGTTCAATTTAGAAATGCACATGATTATTTGAAAGATTTCAAAGATGAGAAACAAGTTTATGAAGATTCTGGAAGAATGATTGAGTTCCTCCATAAATGGAAATGTTCAGATGGGAACGGTTTAGAGGAATGCATAAGTCAGTTAACTGATGATTTGGTGAAAAACGAGTTATGGGAAGAAAAAGATTCAGAATTGATGAAGATGTTCTTGGATGACCTGAAATTTTTAGGGTTAGTTGAAATATCGGAATAGTAAAGGAAAGTTCACATTTCAGATTCAAGTTTCCTAATTTAATTGATGATAGCTACAAAGATCCATACAGTCCCCCGGAGAACGAAACACTTCGAGAAGTGAATTGCAGGAAGATGAATTTAGAATTCGAATTGATTGATCCAAAGAAAACTGAAGATCAGGTACCAAAAAAAAACAATACTCATTTTTTTAAAGTATTGAATTCAGGGTCTTCGAAGAGCCGAACAAAAACTGAACTATTTCGGAGATCTCGTACAATGGTGCAATGAAACTGGATATCCAAGTATGAATCAAAGTATTTTGACAGATTTTCAGAAATTTTATTTTTCAGATTTAACAAATGTGTTTCCATCACCAGAACAGCTTCAAGAACAACACGATAACTCATATGTTCTACGGAAAAATTTGAATAGTGTAAGTATTTTTTAATCGCTTCCAACGAATAATTTCGATTCTCAGGTCTTGGTCGTCGTGAATAATTATCCATGGAAGTATGGAATTGGACTGATTCAACGGTTATACCAACCCTATTTTGCATCTGTGATATTCTGTGGATCATTTTATCCGGATCAATTGATTAACAGGGATAACTACACTTCAATACTCCACCCGGTTAATTATATTCATATGAATCCTGCTGAAATTCATAGAGGATACTTTTCATATCACTGTGTAACTCTTGCGAAGGAACTACGATTGAATAATGTGGAGGGGTACTTTTTGATGGCAGATGATTCAGTTTATAATATTTGGCAACGAATTGATTATTCAAGAGTTCATCATTTGACAGGAGCCACTATTGATAATACTCAGGACTGGTTTTTCTTAAAATTCGGTAGGTTTTATTCAATGTGATTTTGAATCTTCTCTCTTCAAAGGATTACAAACAAAACAGATATTGGAGAATGTGAAAAAAACAAATGATAAAAAGGTGATAGCCGCATGGGAACAATTTGAAAATGGATTGAAAACCTATGGATACTTGGAAAATAAAACGGTTGAAGAATTTATGACAAATTCTAAAGGAAGAAGTTTTTCTGATTTGTGAGTTTTGTGAAATGACTTTGATATTATGCCAGTCGGTACAACCGCATTTGCTGCGGGGGAAACTTATTTTTGGCTGGCCGCCACTTGGGTGAAATATACTTTTCGGTCTTGGGAAGACCACCTGAACCCCTGGTTCCCAATGAAATTCCACAAATAAACCCTCCAACTTTGATTTGCTTTTATCGAGGACGCAAAAAAAACTTGCAACTGCTCAACCTGCTGTCGAAAACTCGTTTCCCTGATTCATTAAACCTTTCCACGAGACAAAGAGCTCAAGAAAATGCCCAAGAAGTGGACCCATCAACGCATCCTTGACGATTTCGTCCCCAAAGCTTGCCAACAAATCTTCACCTTACAAACCGCACATCACCTTTCTCTATTAAACTAATAGAAAAGTCTTAACTAGCATAATTTTTCTAAA